GGAGAAAATAAAATCCCACCAGCATGGGCATCCTTTCTCTCAAAATGGACTCTAGGAGCTTCTTTCCTGTTCTCACTGAAGTGGTTCAGGTTGGAGTCATGCTTTGTCACTTACCAGCCTGAGCAGGAGACTTCATCTTTCTGTGCCTCAGTTTCCTCTTCTGTGAAATGGAGATAAGAGTATGCTCTGCCTCATTGGGTTATTGCAAAGATGAAATGAGTCCTATGCCCAGCACACTGGATGACTCAAATGTCAGCTATTGTTTTATTCTTAGTGCCACTGCTATGGCTATACCAGAAAGGACACTGTGGTATCCAAACAAATGGCACTGTGTCCCCCTAAGCCCCCATAATCACATACCAAGATATGGGACAGGCTTCAGCAGGACCTAGTAGGCCTGTCACACTTGCCCAGTAGGGCACACACAGGATCTGGGCCTGGACAGGCATCACTAACATTCCAGTGACTTCTGGCTATCTGCACCCTCAGGAAGGGAAATGAATAAGTGATGCGCAGTCCAAGAGGGTTCTCCTCGCCAGAAAACCTTTCTTCCAAGCAATCCTCTCTCCCAGGTGACTACATGGACTCACCCTAAGCACCAATTCCTGAAGGACACCCACCTCACATTATACATTAGGAGTCTGCCAGTCTCCACCTGTCTCAGGTGAGTTGGGCCAGGAGAGACTTCAAGAGCAACCGCCTTCCCGCCCTCATCCGGAACAGCAGGGCCTTCCGAGGGTCATGGCCACTCCTTGAGGATCCTTGAGGGCACCACAACACAGAAGCACAGGTGGGAGACAGTTCGGGTGGACGGTCTCGGAGGGTTTATTCAGATTTCCAGAGATCTCTCAGTGGAGCGTCTGCCTACCCAGACATAGCCCTCCCGACGGAACCTGGGCCTTTCCTCTTCTGGACTTCCCCTCCCAACCCAAACACACACCGCAGCTGCCACCACAGTCCTCCAGTCCCCGCCCCCCTACCCCAACCGCGCGCAAAAGACATCGAGTTTTGTTTACAATGGAATCTATCCGCATAATAGTCTCGACTTTGCATTTCGCTTTGCCCGCGTGGATCCGGTTCTGGGCCCTTCTTCACTGGTTCGCAAAGCACTTTAAGGGAAATTCCCCTTCCGGAGAGGAAGGCAGCGCGCGCCCCAGGGACAGTTCACAAAGCCCCAGAGGAGCCTTCCCACCTCCCCCACCTCGCTTCAGCATGCCCACCCCCACTCCCACGCAGTGGGGAGCTGCAGAGGCGCGAGGACGGCCCCGGGCGGGACACCGGCTCTGGGCTCTGGGCCCCCGGCCACTCCCCGAGCCGAGCGCAGCCCGCCGGGAACCAATGAACCGTGTGGGAGCAGGGCTTGGCCGTACCTCCAGACTCCAGGGAAAAGCTGGGGTTTGCAACGCGCGCCGTAGGATTCCCGAGGTGGGGTGAATCCCGGGGGGTCCCTCCACCTCCCTCCCCCCTTTTCAGGTCGGCAGCCCCAAGCCCCCACTTTTCTCCCCCCTAAAGTTTGGTCCACGTGGTCTTCTCTCGCTCAAGCCGGCGCCTCGCGCGGCGAAAGCGGCTGCACCTGCTTTAGGCGAATTATGGTAGCGCTAGAAGTTGGGCGCCCTCCCTCCGCCGCCCGCTCGCCCGCTCGCTCCCTCCTCCCGCGTCCCCGGCGCTCCCTCCTTCCCGCCCCCTCCCCCGCCCGCGCGCCCCGCCCGCGCGCCGCCCGCGCGCAGCCACTCGCAGCCCGGCTCAGTCGCAGCCCCTCGGAGTCCGGAGCCGGCCGCCCCTGCGGGCCGGACTGCGCGGCCGGCGGCCGGGACGGAGCCCCCAGCCCGCCGGGAGGGCGCGGCGCAGGCGGCGGCGGCGCGGCGGGGAGGAGCCCGGGCCGGAACCAGGGCTGGGCCGGGGGCGGGGACGCCGGGGTCCCGGAGCCCCGGAGCCGGAGCGAGCGAGCGAGCGTCGCGGGAGGACGGGGACGCCGGAGCGCGGCGGGAGCGAGTCGGGCGCCCACAAAGTGCGATGCCCCGCCGGGGCTAGGGCGAGCGGCGGCCGGCGCGGCGCGGCGCGCGGGGAGCACGCCCGGGAGTGCGCGGCGCCGGGCGGCGCGGAGGGGCAGCCCCACGGGCGGCGGCGGGCCGGGCTGCGCCCCGAAGGAGCCTCATGCCCCGCGCGGGCTGACGGGCCGGAGCCCGCGCGGAGCGGCCGGGCCGGACAGGTAGGTGGCGGGCCGAGCCCGGGGACGCGGGTGGGGGCTGGGCCGGCGGCCAGACCAACTCCCTCGCTCGCGCACTCGCGCCCTGCGCCCTGGCTCACTTTGTGTTTGCAAACTGCCCGCCGGAGACGCGCCGGGCGCCGGGAGGAGCCGGGCCCAGGCCGGCGCACTTTGTTCCAGCAGGGCCGGCCGCGGCGCCCTGACCCCGCGCGGCCGCGCCACCCCGCCCCGGCCCGGGCCCCCGCGGCCGGCGCGGCCTGGGGAACAGGTGGGGGCTCCGGCGCGGCGCGGGGGTGGGGGGGCGGCGGTCCGCCGGGGTGGGGGGGCTGGAAAGGCTTTGGAGGCCCGCCCTTCCCCAAGAATCCGAGCCCCGCCCCCTCCCGGCCTGGCCGCTGGGAATGGGGTGCAAGGGGGCGCGACACCCCCCACGGCGCCCCGAGTCAGACAAAGAATACTTCTCGGCGCGGAGTTTTCTGAACTGGGGAGGGAAGTGATGAAGTTGGCTCCCCCAGCCCCCGTCTGTCCAGGATCCCCCAAGACGCGCTGGGGACAGATGGGGGCACCGCGGTCCCACCCGGCGCGGCGCGTCCCCCCGGGTGTGCGGGGGACTCGTTTTGTTGGGGTCGCACCTCGGCGGCTCCGAGGCCAGTCAGCCGTATCCCCCGTCCTTGGTCAGCTTGGAGAGAGCGAGCGGAAAACTTCTTGGGGACTTAAGAGCGTCTGAAACCTGCGCCTGTGGGTTTTTTTTTTGTTTTTTTTTTTTTTTGTGGGGTTTTTTGTTGTTGGTGTGTGTGTTTTGTTTGTGTGTCTGGTTGGTTGGTTGGTTTTTTGTTTTTGTTTTTGTTTTTGTTTTTTGCGCCGTTGCTGGAGGTTGGGGGGGGACTGATCTGGCCGATACCTTTATTCATCCCCTTTGGGTAAAGTCCCTGCCCTGTGAGGGGAAAAGGGAGGGCGGCAGCAGGGCGCGGATGCCACCTGGGAAGAGCGCCCTGGAGTGACGAAGCAGGACACCCCCGCCTCAGATTGAGGATTCTAGTGTCTCCTCTAGACAGACCCCCAAAGACACTTGGAGCCGTGACCACCCCGGCGACGCGCCCCATCAACGCCGAACAAACTAACTTGAGCTGCCGGTGGCGATAGGATTCCGGATGCCCTGAGCGAAGTGGGGTTCAGGCTACCCCGCCAAAAGACGGTGTGATTTCGCCGGACGCGGATTCTGAAGCAGAGGCCCTTAGGGCCGCGGAATCCATCTCTCCTCCAACCCGGGCGACCTAGTGCACCCAGCCGCACCGCGCCAGGACTCTCTAGGCTGCGGGAAGAGAGTATGGGAAGGCGAAGACCTGGAGCCCCTAGAACACCCGCTCGCCTCTTTGCACCCCGGGCCTTTCTTGCCTGTTTCATAGCGCCTTTTCGTAGCACTTTCGGCGCCTGGGGTTAAGGTCTCCGGAGAGTCCCGCTTGTCTGCACCTCAGCGCCGAATTCTCTCTACAGGTTGACCACCCGGCCTGAAGCGGGAGTGGAGGAGGGGGGCCTGGCCTGTAGGAGCAAACCCAAATCCGACGCGGTCATCCCAGCGGTTCTGAGAAAGCCCAGGAACATTTTGGCCAATGCGGGTTTTTACTTGAACTTCTGCGTCTTCGTGCCCTGTTTAAAAGCACCCGCCTGGATTGTCCCACAAGTACTGTGTTGGCTCTGGGATTGCGTGCAACTCGAGAAGGGGCAGTTAGGGTGGAACAAGAGACTGACCCTAGTTCCCAGTTTTCCACTAGAAAAAGCAGCACGGTGGTCTACACTGCCCGACCTCCAGCTGCGGGAGGGTCTGCCAGCAGGAGCACAGCGGGTGATGAGACCCGCACCCAGAGAATTTGAACCCAGAAACCCATTTTCTGCGGAGAATGGCCCTGTTGGTGCCGGGCGTTTCAATTCCAGAGGCTGCTGTTGAGGCAGCGGGTCGGTGCAGTGGCAGGCCTGGCCGGCCATCCCTAGCTGCCCAAAGGGGAGCGGCTGGCCTTGGAGGGCTGCAGCCCCAGACAGCCCTACCTAACACAGCAGAAAACCCGCTTCAGAGAAGGGGAAGTCTGCGGGCGGCTTGGGTCTTTTTTTTTTTTTTTTTTTTTTGAGAAACTTATTCTTGCCAGGCAGGCTGTTGGGAGGGTCTTAGAACATGCCGCCGGCACCTGGACAGCTTGCTTGTTCATTTCAGGGCTCTTAGATCTGAGCTTCTCAAAAGCAGGGCTGTGCCTTGGAGGGCTCCCCATCTTGTGTTATCCCACTCTTGTCACTGGAGCAAGGTGGAATGCAGTGAAGGGTCCCTCTGGGCCCCCTTTCTCCCCCCCCCCACACCCAAGACCCCAGTAAGATCTGAATCTCTCCACCTTGGCTCTCTGACCACTATCTTGCCCTGGCCCAGCCTTGGCACCAAGTTGAAGGAGACTCTGGGAGTCTGGGTGGGGTTTTCTGTCCTCTTTCCAATCCTATGCAGCTTTCCCAGGAATTAGAGTTGGGGAGACCCTAAGTCCTGAGGAGAGAAAGTGCTGACATCAATGCTGGGGAGAGGGGGGTCAGGCAGGGCAGGTGGGCCCAACTTGCAAAAGGATTTGCCTCTCTTTTTGCCCTAGACACCCCTACCCTACATCCTTTCCTTAACTTTGGCCAGAAGTTTCCTTTCTAACTCTCTGGAAGGTAGATCCCTTCTTGCCAGGAATGTGCATATCCTGCCTGGGGGGGGTTGGGGGGCCTCTACTCTAAACACACCTCTTCCTTAAATAGGTGAAAGCAGGGGGACTATGGGGGGCAGGGGGGTTTCTTTTGATCGATTAACTCTCCAAATGTTTGCTGAACCCTTATTCTGAGCAGGTCCCAGACTGAGTACCCATGCAATGAAAGTTGGGGTCTTCTCTAGACCCCACATTGCCAGGATAGGAGAGACATATGAGGGAGTGGAGGGTGGGAGCTGCATGTCCAATTAAGAGGACAGATGTGAGGTACAAGGAAGGGCAGGGTAATCTCCAGAAGAAGCCTTCCTGTCTCCATCACCCCTGGCCTAGCTGTACCCTCCTACCCCATACTCTAAATCCCCGCCACCCCACTGCCTTGGTGGTTTTCTGTTCCTCCATCTGAAATGCAAGCTTCTCCACAATCATCCCAGTGAATCATAGTATCTATACTTTTCTAATAGCCCAAACTCTGCAAAAATAGTTTCTTCCATTCAAAGAATTCCGCACAGTTTCTCTTCACAAACTTAGAACTGTCCTGGCTTCCCCAGACCAAGGCAGAGCAGGTACTATTTTTGACAAAATTCTGAGGTTCCACCAGCTGAAATGGCTTTCTCGAACTTAGTTCCAGAACTGTGGAACCCAGGACAAGGGAACCTGATCCTCCCAGGGGCAGAACATGGGTCAGAGCAGAAAAGGCTTTGGAGCTTGCCAGTAGTGATGGAACTCTGGGAAACTTAATTTAGCTCTTGGAGCCTCAGTTTTCTTATGTGTCAAGTAGGTCAGTAATACCCATCTTAGAGAGGCGGTTTGGGAGTTGAATGGCAGAGCAGGACCCAGTACAGTGCCTGGCACATGCAGTGCTGACCAAGAGGTGGCTTTTACCATTAGAGTCCCAGCACTGACAGGCCACATGTTGGACTTGTTACTAGAAATGCTGTGCTATTAACCTCCATTTTATGAGCTGAGAAGGTGAAGACCAGAGAGAAGCAACTTGTCTGAGGTTACCCAGCTAGTTAGTGGTAGAGCTGGGACTAAAATGCGGGCCTCCTAACTCCCAGTGTAACCAGCAGGGCATGAGCCTTTGCTGTGGGGGAGGGGGAAAGGAGCGGGGGAGGGAGGACCCACCAGCCTCCCCCTCCTTACTTCTTAGACTCTGATATGGACCACCCCTCTGCCTTCCAGTGACAAGGCTGTGTCTTCTCTTCCTGTCTTCCCTGTAACACTGGGTTCCAAACCCGGTGTTTTTCGCCTTCACAGGACCGTGGAATGTCCGATCCACCCCCAACCCTTCAAAGGTGCTCATGGAAACAACTATAAATGGGAGGGGTAATTCCCCAGAATGAGAGAGGGAAAATGGTTGGCACCATGTCTCTCCAAAAAGGGAGATTTCTAGGGTTTGGAACCTGAGTCTACACAGCCTTACAGAAGACAAGTTCGGCTGCCAGTCTCAGCTCAATTTGGGACCTCTCCCTGGATGGATCATCTCAAAGAAGCAAAAAGGAAATTTCCCTTGAGCGTGAAGTTGCTGGCTCTTTCAACATCGCCTTCCCAGATCCTCAATGGAAATGCATACCTTTGCCCACTACCAATTCTGCCAGGCCGGAACCCACTTTACTCCAAACCTTATGGCTGCAGTGGTCTTGTGAGATGGTGCTCAGTGAGCTCTGAGTGGAGCCTTGTCCGAGGCACGCCTGCCTGAGCTAGGAATTGAGAGTTCCCAGAACAAAGGTGCACGTTTGAACAGGGCCACAGGGCACTGGGCCTCCAGGGAGCCAGCCAGGCCCTTGACTGCTGTCTCAGGATTCCGCCTCCTCCTGGGGTCTTTGCAGGGCTTTGCCTTGTTTGTGTGCAGCCCTGCACCTTTCCTGGCCAACCCTGGCCATAGACACGTGACCTATGACCCGAATCCCAGAAGCTGTGCCCACCTCCAGGCCCCTTACTCTGCTCAGCTGGAACCTGCGGGTGAGTGGGGTCGTTGGTGGTGCAGGACGTTGTCTTTCCACTTTTGGGTTTGGTTCTGATGGTACCTGACCCAGGCTGCCATGCCATTGGGGGAGGGGACAAGATGGAGTGATTTTTTCCACCCGGTAACAAAGTGTGGTATACAAAATAGTGATGCGATGCTCTGGCATTTGTCCAGAGTGGGAGGGAGGCCCCGAGAGTTAGCCATGATTCCCGCCAGGGAAGAAGGGACAAATGCTGGCTACCTAGGGCAGGGTGGCTCAGAAAATGGAGACCTGGACCCTTCCTCGTCTCAGTTCCACAAGCATCATGGAGTGTTTGCCGTGTGCAGTGGGCCTGTGAGGGTCAAGGTGAAGAGGTTTTAAGAGGCGGCTTGCTTGCAACTTGGAAAATCAGAAGTGGAGCAAGTGCCTGAGCTCTTTGGGATAGAAACTAGTGACTAAAGGTGCCCTCTAGCCCTTAGGCTCCCCAGCCAGTTCAGGATGCCCCAGAGAGCCCTTGGGGAGATGTGCTGTGAGAAAGGGAAGTGGGGGATGGGCAGATAAGTCCCACTCTGTGGGCTTCCTTGGATTTGGTGTCCCAGTTCTACAGCTCATACTTTGAGGAGATCCAGGTGGAAAGAAGTTGGTCCAAAAGAGGATATAGCCCTGTATGTCTTCCTTGAGGGGTTCCCTGGGCAGATGTGCATCTGTACCCTGGAAGAAAAGGGTGTGGCTGGGGGAGAATTTTGGGGTGGATTTGTAGGAGACCCAGGGAATAGCACCTGCTGTAAGCGCTTGGGGAGCGAAGCTCGGTGCTTGGAGAAGCGCCCTAGCTTCTGCAGCCCTGAGTGTATGCTGTGTAAGCAGAGGTGCTTTCAAAGGAAGGGTCAGTTCAGGGAAAGTCGGATGGGATCCTGTGTGCTGAGGGTGTCCTTGGGAGAACCTCCCCTTTAGGAAGCCTCCAGGATTTCCCTAGAGATGCTGGGCTAGCTGTTTTCCCACCCCATTCTGAGTAGCCACCCCTGCCAGCGTCTGTCCAAGCCTCCAGGAGTGCATCAGTGCAATTTGCTGGAAGTTCCTTGGTCTCTGAGACCTGCGCGCAGCTCAGGGGTTGCAGCTTTGGGTGTTTGTGGCCCTACCCCAGAGAGTGGCGAAAGTGAAGGGGGTGGGGGGCAGCGGATGCTGGGCTTGCCGGTCTCAGTCAGCCCTCTGCCTGGGGGTCCAGAGAATGCTGGAAGAAGGGGCTGCTTGGCTTGGGCAGTGCAGCCTCTGTCTTTTAGCCACAGGGAGGGCCACCCACACCCCTGGCTGCACTGCTCACGCTTGGGTCTGATGCTGCAGGTGTCGGTCGCAAACAAGGGCCAGACTGTGAGGGGGCCCCAATATACCGTTACTAGTCCTAGATTCCTTCTATGACTTAGGTATAACTGACTTCACTCTGGACCTCGGTCTTCTCAACTCACTATCCTGGTTTCCTCTTCTTGTCGCTGCCTGTCAGCACAAAGTCTGAGCACTTGCCCCTTTGTTCCGCTGCGTAGGAAGTCTGCTGACTCCACTGGGCCTTCCCTAAAGGGGCGCTCTGGAGCACCGGGCAGGCTACCCTGCTACCTAGCAAGTCTTCTTCCCAATTAGGCCGCTGAGCCTGATTAAAAGGGGGCGCTGCCTGCCCCCTCCGCAGATCCCCATCGAGGAGATTTCCCTTCATCAGAATCTCACATCCTCAAGAAATTAATTTGATGCCTCTTGTTATCAATTAATTGAATCTTGTTGGGAGAGAGAGCTCAGCCAGGCAGACTGCGCTTGGCCCTTGTGCACTGCTGTTCCACCCTCCCCCTCACACTAGGATAGCCTCACCCCCTTCCCCATTTCTTTCTCTGCCTTGCTTTTTATTTCATACATTTTCCAAAGTAGAACCACTGCTGTGGGCCCTTGGATGGATACCTGTAGGCTGGCTGGGCACTGCCTGGGATTCACCCTTTCTGAGCCGGGGTGGGGGTGGAGGCTTCCTCTCCCCTGGACCCATTTGACCCCTCCTTAAATCAACAAAACCTTATCCCTTGGGAATTTGGTCCTGACCCTGACCTGTGTGCTCTAGGGGCTGCTGGTTAGAAACTTGGAGAGGACAACTGGGGGAGGGAAGGCTAGGGACAGGCTTCTAGGAACCTCCCCCATGCTACACACACACACACACACACACACACACACACACACACGTTGGGGGAGGGAGACCCTGAAAGACCAGGCTAGGGACCTCCCAGCCATCAGGTTTTTTTCCTTATGAAAGCACATCTTTTAGCCCCTGACAGGACTGATCCATGAAGTGTAGGGGCAGAGATGTGTGGTTAGCTGCCCAACAGTCAGAGAGGTCAGGCATATGCAGAAACAAGTCCTCAGTATTTCCAAGTACACTTGGAAGCCCATACTCTATCTCCTGTGTGGAGAAGGAATGTTCTAGAAGATATGCCCTATCTGGGAGAGGATTGTGGCAGGTACAAGGCAGGACAGGTGGTCAACAGACCCTAAGTAGCGAACTGTGCTTTGCTATTTCACACACCACCTTATTCTAATCCTCACGGCAACCCTGAGAGATTCTTCAGGTAGTGATAATTGTTACTCTCAATTGACAGGTGAGGGACGCAGGCCCAGAGAGATGAGATAACTTGCCCAGCATCACACAGCTCACTGCAGCCTGCCTCTCTGGAAAGCTGCACATCAGGGCTGAGGTCACAACTTGATTAACTTCATCCTTTATGAGTTTCGTTGACACGCTAAGTTTGTTACAATGGTAGATTTCACATAAATATTATTCTCATCTCGACTTTTGAGAAACCCAAACCCTGCATTTCTGGGTGGTAAGGACAGACTGGGATTGGATGGCCTCCACGTCTCACCTGGCCTCCTAGGGGACCAGCCCGGCCCCTGCTGGCATTTTGGTTAGCAGCACCATCAGGGAGATTTCCCCTGTGCTCAGTATTCTTCAAGAGAGAGCTGGAATTTGGGGAACCTGGGATCTGGGAGACTGCAGAGAAGACCTTTACGTGCACCCTGACTCAAGTCTAATTACACACAGCTACTTTAGAACTGATGATGGGAGCTAGTTTTCCTTCTACAGTGGGGAGACTTACAGGGTTTTGTGCCTCTGGGAACCTGGATGGTCCCTCCCTGCTCAGGTGAGCCTTTCAATGAAAGACATCACCCTTTTCCTGTCCCCCAAATCTATGTACTTTTTTGTTGTAAGAGACTTTCTTCCAAGAAGAGAATCGCAGGTGGGGAGAAGAGAACTGGACAGAAGTCACTTTTCTGGAACTTAATGTTTTTACAGGGAGAGGAATGCTGAATATTGAATATTTAGATATGCTTGTGTTTTGGGATGCCCTTAAGTTGGTGCTGGAGGTCCCTGGGAAAACCATACCTGGATATCATCGGGAGACCGGGAGGGAACAGGGCAGACTGGGTAGAGACAGGGCCCCAAGGAGGGCCAGATCCAGTGGCCTTGCTGGCTGGAGCCCCTCCTGGGCCCGCAGGAGCCCCCTGGCGCCATGTGCACTACCAGAACCAGACTCCAGATGGCCACTCAGGCCCTGGGTGGGTCGCCCCCACCCCTTAACCAGCAGGCCCCCCACGTAAGATGTCGCTATTTAATTAGCCATCTCTGATTAACCAAACTTGGCATTCGGCTCCTCTTGCCCTCATCTTTCCCAGCTCCGAATCAATGGCTTTGATATGCTAATTAGGGAGTAATTTAATTTCAAAAGGCCGCAATTAACAAGGGTGTTGTGGACATGCTGTAGTTAAGCGGAGTAATCTAATTTGCATTAGTAACAAGCAGGGACTAATTAGAAGCTTAATTAGACACTTAGATGGCTCTTATGTTTACTTTCTTAATGAGATGGAGTGGGATCTTTGGTTCTCTTTTTCCTTTTCCTTTTTTTTTTCTTATTGTTGATTCTTCCTTTTGGTCTATGAAGGGGGTGTGAGGGAGGCCACCTTGCTAGGGCCTAGTGGGAGCATTATGGGATCTGGGCCAATGAAAAGTGAACTGGGGGTGGTGGCCTTGGTGAGGAAAGGTTCGGAACCCAGGGAAATTCCAGAGAGCACACCCTCGGGGCCTTGCCACCTCTTTGGTGGAAGTGCGGGGGAGAGCACAGTTTTGGGATTCAGAAGAACCATCCGGTTTCAGTTTGGCTCAGCCTCTTAGCAGCCAGCTGACCTTGTCAAGTCACTAGGCATCTTGGAAATGTGGTGCCTTCATCTGTCAGTCAGTGCCAGGTTGTGTGGAAAAGAGGAGAGGGGGACAGGTTATGGGAAAGGACTTTCAAGAACTCTCTGAGTGGAATGGTTGTAATTAAGAATAAAATAATTCACACACGTTGTGCCCAGGCTTCCCTTCCTTATTACTCTGCTCAGAAGTCACTTCCTACAGGAAGCCTTCCCACAGTACCCCCACTCTCTAATGCCTGCCTTCCCCGTCTACTTAACGTATATTTGAAAAGTTGTATATGTCCAAGTTTAGAATACTTGGAAGACTTTTTAAATTATCCATGTCTGGGTTCCACTCCTCAGAGAGTCCAATTTAATTGTTTTAGGGCAGGACTAGGCTTGAGTATTTTTTCAGATGTTTGTGTTTGCCTGTGTATCTTTCTTCTCTGAGTTGTAAGCTGCCCTCCCTGAGCAAGACTATGTTCCGTTCACCTCAGGAGCCAAGACCCCAGTACAGCCCCCACCTCCCCACCCCCACACCCGTGTTCAGTAGTAGTTAGTTCAGATTTGACAGGGTCTGAACTGTTGAATTTTGAATGCCTTATGTGGGATCTGAGAATCTTCTGGAGAAGGAGCTGAGAAGGTAGTGGGAAAATCACTAAAAAGGTAGAGGACTTGTGAGTCTTCTGGGATGTGAGCCACATTGCTGAAGGAAAGGCAAATTTGGTACAAGTTTTATGGACGTCAGTTAGGTAGGGATAAATGTATCTGAGCCTTAAAAATAGCAATTCCATCTTCTAAACATGCATCCTAAGAATA